TATGGAAAAATATCTTAAAATATGGAATGCAGAAATTAAGGAAGATTGTGAAAAACTATGAGAAATTCGTTTGTATATTAAACAACAAATCATTGAACATAATTACAATTGCATATATGTCCCTTCCCTCCTCTGACCCCTGACTATATTATAGTCAGGGGTCAGAGGAGGGAAGGGACACTTGCCCTCGCCTAAGATCGAGTAAAAAATCCCACAAATTATAGGTCTAATCGTAAAAGTGATTTAGATATGTAACCTTATACCCTCGACCACGATTGTATTCTATCATCCATTTTGTGGAATAAAGACCCCAAAAAATTAAATAAAAATTAATTAATGTAATTGTTTGTCTGCAAGCTCTCTCCCCTCCGGAAAATATTCTATGGAAGCCCTCTAAATATCAATTGGTCTTAATAAACAAACATTACATAGAAGTAAGCATTAAGCATTAGCAAAACAGACTTTTTTAAATTACACTTTTATTTATTTTGATAATATAACACACAATATATAACATTTTAAAAAGGAAAAATTCTATAAATAGTGACTATTTACAAACGTAAATGTTATAACAGTTGTAGAATCATCAAAAAGAGTTCAAGGTGCCAGATTTTTCCATGCGATCAGCTCGTAACCTTTAAACTTTTCTCATATTTATAGCTTGATTTAATAGCAATATTTCTGTCCTTGAACGCGAGTTATTAAACATTAGATTAGCTTCAAAATTTCTTGCATTATTTTAATTTCAATACGCTCAAATTAATTAATTATTGTCGTAAGCGGATACGTGAAATTCAGATTATACGAATTATTATAGGAATAAATAAATATTAAATATAATTCTCATTATAAAATTAAGTTTGTGCAACATTCTAGCCTGTTGCATCAGCTACTGTTACTAATAAATAATATTTTTTAGCGTATACACAATTTACTTATTATTGCTTAAAAATAAATAAATAATATGTAAAAAACAAATTATTATTTAGAATTGTTAACGTTTACATTTTATTTTACCGTTGTTTAAATTACTATAAAAGTCCTGATTTTGTTTTCTTATTATCTTCCTCCGTTATTTAAGCAAGTGTTTATGATAATTACTTTAAACGTTTGATCTATTTTTAACAATATATTNAAAAAACAAATTATTATTTAGAATTGTTAACGTTTACATTTTATTTTACCGTTGTTTAAATTACTATAAAAGTCCTGATTTTGTTTTCTTATTATCTTCCTCCGTTATTTAAGCAAGTGTTTATGATAATTACTTTAAACGTTTGATCTATTTTTAACAATATATTTATATATATAGGCCTATGTATCTAAATTAAACTGGAATTTCTGTAATCTTTAAATAATCTATAACACTTCTGCTTTAGTATCTACTGTAAATATATGATCGTTTTTACAGTAACTTAAACACTTTTTTTTTTTGAGTTTAGAATATTTATAAAGAATATTGTCCTCTCGAGAGCATTCTCAACAGGATCTATTTATAACTTATATTTTTTTTTCTTATTTTTTAAATGCGACAAAAGCTTCAAAGAAGGAACCATTTTTCTTTTAAAAATAGTAGAAAAAAATCTTTTTCATTAAAAACTTACAGTATCTTTTCTAAATTTAAGAGTATTAAAATTTTTTAAATATACAGTAGACCCCTATAAAACTGTTGATAATTCCGTGTTGTACATGGCCTGTCTTACAATGGGCGTGAGTAACTAGTGAACCTCTCGTGTCTGAGGTTCTCACCTGCATTCTACTAATGCAAGATACTTATGTACTAATTTATACCTCATTTATATTTTGAAAGTAACTGTAGATAGTTATTAACAATAGTAGCCTATAGCGTAACGAGTGTACAAAAGCAGGTAATATAATATATCCCTCGTTTTAGTAGTATTCGTCACCCGTTATAAAATAACTAAATTGCGAAAATAACGGCAAAACTAAATTTAATATCCGTTATTAAGTTTCTATTATGTTTACGAGATTTCTTGTTACTTCACTTTCGTGGGCTATCAATTCATAGAAAACGTTAATGCTCACTTTCGTAATCGAATTGTTATCTTTTTAATTAATGTAACATGTGANATTGAATGTGTTTCTTTTGATTAAACATCGAAAAAATAATGAGCAGAAAATAAGACATTTCGTAGCACGTCTCGAATAAAATATGTTATTATAAACAATAATAACAGCAGATATAAATAAATAAAATAAAGAAAAATAAAACGATATTTTTCCTCGATTTCGGAGATATTAACGAAGAATGATGAGCAGCCAAACAGCGGCATTTGTAAACATTGAATAACAAGTTATGTAAACAAAGTATATGTAAATGAAACAGGATTTCCAAGAATTTTATTCATTTGTAAAAATAAAAGCATTTTAAAAAATCGAAAATAAACGAAAATCGTAAAAAAAAAATAGTCAAATTTAAAATTAAAATGATATATTTTCGTTTTTTTTTTTGTTTTTGATGTGGAGGGTGGCCCAAAATTCGGTTAACCGTGGCATCGGATTAAATTTACAACCCATGAATTTAATTTTGCATTGAACAGCTCGGAACTCATTTCTGAACCATTCTGTAGAGTTTGTGATTAATAAACTGTATGAATAAAATAGCTGTTCAACCTTTATTATAATTAATTTTCAGGCACTCTACATTCATAAACTAATTTATACTTATTTATTTAGAATTCTTCAGTTGCATAAGAAATGCATAAGAAATCTATTGAATAGATTTCTTATGCATTTTCTATAGTATTTCCGAGAATAAGAAAGGAGCCGATGTGCTGAATCTTCAATGTGTATCGCTCCACCGCCGTAGCTAAAAAAAAAAATTCGAAAATTTACGTATCACGTCATATGACGTCGCGTGACGTTTTTTTTTCTTTTTTTATTCTTCTTTTTATAATCTCAGAGACTTCTTGCAAAAATGTCGTAAATTTCAAATATATTATAACAATTTAAATACAACTTGAAATTTTCTAACATGTTTTCTAAGTTTATTATGATATACTTCGTAATAAACATGGAACTATTTTCTTTCACTTATGTAGACTAATTAACATCGTTTCCATTCTTACTCTAGAAAATAACTATAAAATATAATTTTTATATTATAGAATAAACTTTTATTACTGTTAATTTTTTCTGGAATTTATTATTTTTAATTCCTGCTCTGTGGAAACTAACTTGTAAGAGATCTTTTCAATTATACCCATTATGGGTACGGCCAGGCACATAATGGGGGAAACCTAATAATAAAGGACTGATCATCCATGAAAAATTCTTTAATTTTTTCGATTTTATTTTTATATAGGCCTATATCATTAAATATTTAATTAATTTTTTGACAACTTTCTAGCGAATTTATTTTATCGTCCAATGTTCAGTACAATTGTTATAGAAGAGGGAAGAAAATTAGTTTCACGCGCTACACTCACTTAAAGCAGACTTTAATTTCAATTGTAATAATATATCTGCAATGTTTCTAGTCACATATTTATTCTAAAAATACATAAAATTAAATAAAATTTAGCGTAAAACTTCTGAGAACTTTATGAGAATTCTACCCCCTCCAGGTAAGTCGATCGGTTGATGACGATCCCTGACGTCATCCTATTGACGATCGGTGTGTCACGTGGTCCGCATTGACGTAGTTAATTCACATCGTCGTGCCTTTCAGCTGTAACTGTCAACGTGCGCTTTAAGCTGTGTGAGAAAAAATACAAAAAGTCTAAGCAGAACAATACAAGTTTGACTAAAATTATGCGTAACGCCTGCGAGTAATTACGATGCGCGTTTACGATAATTATCCAGTCATAAATCGGGTGCTTTTTAATTTAAAAAACATTAATTATGTTTAAAATGTTTAAAATAAGTATGTGTTCTATTCTGTGCGTGAAAGAGGAGAACGCTTTTATCAATGTTTATTATTTTATAATCTAAAATATATTAAATATTATGAATTTTCGATGATGCGCGATATTTATATAACATTCGTGACGTCACACTTACTCGGAGACGAGATCATAACTATATCATGGAATGTCACGAGATCGCGTGTGATATGTTCGAAATGGGACGCATAAGAAAACATAAGAAACATTAAATCTTGATCTTATAAAAGATTTTTTAAATAAAATTTAAATAAATTATCTTCCTAACTTCGATGGAAAATAAATGACGTCGCCGTGACGTCTCTTGATTAAAAAAAGTTATTTAAAAGTATTTTTAAAGTAGAATATAGATCTCAATACATAAAATAAACTAGCGGAACGATTTAATTTAAACATAAAATATAAATTAAAGTGAAAATTAATATGCGCCCACTCAATAATGCTCCAAAATTGTCTCTAAACAATACGTAAGAAGTCACGTGATAACGTAGCAAAAAGTTTTTGGGTACACTTTTATAAAGAGGGTGATATGGGCAATGAAGTGTGCTTTGTAGAACCTTTTGCACGGAGTAGAAATATATAAGATTTTCGGAGAAATCTCAAAATTTTGCTTTAAAAATCGAAATGCGCGATTTGACATTTTTTCAAAACTGTATCGAAAAAAACTACACGAACCCCAGTTTTAAGAATTAAAATACGATTAAATGAAACATCTGACAAAATTAAACATTCAATGGGAAATAAAGGGCTACAGCATTCTTCTTCATTCATTTTTTATCATCAACTATTCAGAAGAGAAAAGAAAATGTGGCGTGATGTCAGCCATTCCCGTTTATAACTGTTAAGAGGTTACCAAACTCAATTAAAAGAATTGTTTTTTTATCCGGCAAATTAACGTAAAAACCTCCGTTCAAAAACGGAAAACAAGCAAAAGAGAGTTAAATTTTAAATCGGTAAAAATTTTATTACACCGAAATGGTAAAAGATCGAGAAATTAATGAAAATTCTGGCTCACTCCAAGGGGAGACGAGCAGCAAACAGAAAAGCCATTTATTGTTTGGCGCGACCGTTGTATGGCGCTTAAGTAGCGGGGTGACTGAGTTAGGATAATTTATAAGTTGGATGTGGCGGCGGCTGGAGGGATAAGTAAGTGGCGATTTCCCGCTTTACAACGCGTTTATCTGAATGTGAGGTGTATTTATCGACTGGGGAAACAACAAACAAAGAACCCAGACATGAATCTAGATTTGAAATGGATGGTAGTGTTAATCGTATGTCTAGCATCTATTCACAGTACACGTGGTAAGTACAATGTTGTTGAACCCGGATTCGATTGGAAGAATATTTAATGGATTTCGAAGAAACTAATCGATTCCGAGACGAATCTTTTTCTCTATTGTTAAATTTTGTAAATAGAGACGGCTGCCGTCGAACGTATGTTATGTTAAAAGTTTTCTTTTGCTTCATCCCATAGGTCAATGTTCCTCTCATCAGTTCCAATGCACAAATCGGCGATGTGTTCCTTTAACGTGGAGATGCGACGAAGATTTTGATTGTGAAGATCACTCGGACGAACAGAATTGTGGTAGAGTATCAGATTTTCAATTAAACTAATTAAAACTTTCGTACAATACTTCGTTGTTCCGCGTTTTAACGCGCTTCGGCAAGGTCACTCTATATAAAATTAATTTTTAATGTTTTTTGTGTGACGGATGCTCATCCGATCTATGATTTATGGGTTTTGTTTAGATGATGGTTTCCGCATTTGTTGGCGTGGCTAATTTTTTTTAAATTTTTTATTTTTTTTAACCGGAGTGTATTTATCTATAGTTACCCTGAGGCGCTTGCATTCCTCTCGTGTTTGTGCTGTCGCTGCTGGGTTTCGCTCATCCCCCCGATAGTGGTAGTCTTTAACGATTTTTAGGCGGGGTAAAACAGTTTTGGATAAGACTTACGAGAACGTAAATAGAAATGGGGTTGAGAAATGGAGCAGACAAGTTTAGATCGACGTTTTTTTTCTTTTCATTAGTGGTTTTTGGGGGGATTTTAGTAGTTTTTTGCAGGTGGCGAATAGTGAAATGAGTTTACGAACTCGTTTCGATATAATTTTTAAATTCTTTTCTTCAAGATTTTTAAGTGCAAAATTCGAAATTAATATTTCTTGCAATTTATATAGAATTATATTTGTGTAGTTTAGTTAATTCCATTTAAAAAATGCAAAAATTGGCCGTGTATTTTTCAAAATAACTTTCCACCATCTGATGCAACCTACCAGATTTTTGCGTGGAAGCGATAAAGTTTAGACTGTAGGCAATTCGATCCTGTTCCAAAAGAGAAAAAAAATATATCGAGTTCGTTGCAGTTGTGTCTGAAAAGAGGTCGTACCTTGAAACGTTAAAAGGGGCAGTCTCTCGTAACGACGCCACATTTGCTAGTATTACATCAGCCGTGTACTTGCTTCACGTAACCAGTTTACAGGTGATTGTACTACTAAGTGAATTGATTACTGCCTTCCACATCGTACTGAGAATATTGCCTTTTTATATATGTATATAAAAATGGCGGAAGTTTAAATAGTTACTTGTTTTAAAAAAAAAATAAAAGAAAAAACTAAACTGTAAACGGACCGGCGATATTGTTGATCGCCACTAAAAGAAAAGAAAATATAAAAAAGTGGCATGTATATTCATTTGTGTTCTACTTTAAATTAACGAAAATGGTCGTTCCAGATTGTATTCTGGTTATATTACTCGTTATGAATATTGAATGAAATCGTAGTGAGGAGCACCATTTTCTTTTGTAAGAAGCGATGCTTGACGTAACGTGATGTGTAACTATTTATTTTTTTATTGAGCCGTTTAGTGATGCGGAAATTGTAGAATAAAACTTTCAATATTACTTTTCTTTTCGAAAATCTTACACTTATCCAATTTCCATTAAGATTTCGGATCAAATTTACGAATTAGCATCAAATAGAGTCACATGATAAATATTTTTTTCTGTTTATCAGATCTTTCCACTCCATGAATCAAGCGTGCCATAACTAAAGATGGTTTCCAATTTGCTCTGAATATATAATGATTTTATGTTTATAGTTCCCATATATTGTAGATTATGATGACGCTTGTGTAAAAAAACAATTCTATTAGTGAACACAGGATGCAGATTTGTCTAATGACGTCAATTACTGATTAAATAACTGCATCTGGTCTTTATCAGTATATTTTAGTTAGGTTTTAATGGGAAATTCACTATCAAAAAAGACTAAAGGTCGCAATTTTTATTTCACACTTCACCACTCCAGTATGATTCACTAAGGTGGTGCTGTGTAGTTTTACAAGTTCAAACACCCATTATTTTGCATTTTACTCGTGTTTTATTCATCTATATTTATCACAACGTGTTTCGAGCAATATGAAGCATAATTTCATTATTTAATATTCTATAATTTCGCACCTGTTAACCATTGCCGTAATTATCATTTATAACCGATGGGGATGATGGCTGCGGGAAACAGGTGCTGTCTACCTGTTTTTAAAATAAATGTCGCTGTCAAACACGATGTGTTTAACAACCGATAAATTGTTACTTTCTTGGTATTGACACTTGAAAATTCTTATATCGACGTAAGCAGTTTCAGATTGCAAAATATGTTGATGAGGTCTAGAACGATCCCACAGTAATAGATTGTATACGAGATTGTGGTTCTACAGTGTTTTACATTACCGAGTCGCGTGGTTAGTTTTTATCTCATGTTTTCGTTCATATGCGAAATTTTATATAAATATTTGTATTGTCTAAATTATAAAACCTTGCTTAATCGAGGACAGATTGAAAATTTATTTTGATATGTTATAAAACGTAACTTATCAATGGGAAAAATCTTTGAAGAAGGTCTTATTGTGTTTTATCATCATTTAAAAATGTAAATAAATGAAACGTTCTATCCGTTTGTATTTGTTTATAATTTTAAGGTTATATTTGTATAAATTTTGAAGGTTTTTTTAAGCATTTAAGATGTTTTCTACAAACGTTTTTGTTCCAGATCTCTTAAAAACCAGCTTGAAATGTGGTAATAATTAAAGATGTTGACGGATGAATCACATTTTTATCAACTTGCCTGATAAAGCTGCAAATAAAGCAATTCTGTAACAATGAGTCTTTATGAATGGCATACCGTAAAAAAATCTAAAATGGTGACTGATTCTATTACAGTCTTTTACGACTTTTATGTCATTACGTAAAAAGTCGCGTAACGAAAAAAAAATATTCAGTTTACAATTAGATTGCTTTTATTTTTTATTTATCTTTAAATATTTCTCTTACTTCTCTAACGGGATGCTGCTAATTTGGGACTCATTCTGGAGTGGGTCAGGGCTGCAGTCATCCTATTCTTTACTAAAACGGATAACTTTAACGTAGTCACATGTTTACTATGAGGAAATCCTCATTTGGCATACCTACCTACTCATTTATTTTTATTTTTTATTTTTTTAAATTACAAAAATACTGAAATAGAAAACTGGCATTCACCAACATTTTAATAGATTAATATTGCAAGAGAATACGTTATAATTTGTAACGTGACCTACGTTATCAAGGACGTTCCTACGCTAAAGTTACTTAGCGAATAATTCAGTATTTTAAAAATAAATTGGTAATTTAATAAGCTTTTTATATTGAATTTTTAATATATTGTGTTTTTTCTTGTCTCATGATTTTTTTATAAATTATTCTAGACGTTAGGACGTGTTCTGTGACCGAGTTCAAGTGCGCCAATGAAAAATGTATACCTAGTAGATGGCAATGTGACAACGAAAACGACTGTGGAGATATGTCTGACGAGGATGCCAAAATGTGTCGTGAGTATTGGTTCAAGTCATTACCAAAAATATTAAAAAAAACTTTGAAAAAATGCCGAGATTTGGCACTCGATCACTTAACCGCACAACATTCTATCAATGCATTTATAAGACAAAATATTCACGAAGTTTTGCGGTTATTATATACAATATTTAAAGTATAGATCCGATAATTAACGAAATGAATTTCCTCGTTCGTAAGATCCATTTTTCACATCATAATTATATTTTACATCGAGGTAAAATTCGATAAGATAAAATCTGATTCAACGTAAGATAATATATCCTCTTTCAAAATCACGGGATAACCTAGAATGAGAAAATTAAGGAAAATTTTTACTAAAAATTGATTGAATTTTAAGTAATATTTTGGAAAATAAACGAGAAAAAAATCTGATAGGTTGAGAAAACAAAAAAATGGAGTGTGTTAAAGCTTGAGGGAAAATTATAGAGTAAAATAATATGGCAAAGAAAGAATAAAATGAGTTTAAATAATTATCTATTGACTTTTTAATAAGAAAATTATTGTATAAGAGAAGTACATAGTTTAAGTATGAAAGATAACATTGTATATAGAACCCATAAGAGAGTTATTAATGCTTTTTTTAAATATTATAATTGTATTTTTTTATATTATCTCTGCGTGATATGCTTATATAATTGTGGTGTGATAAGAATGAGAAACTATTAAACCGTGTGGAAGATTTAAGGCCCCCTTATAAAATATTTTACTTTAGAAAAACGGGAATTTCTCCTTCTGAATATTACTTGCAGGACCAGAAAGTTCGATACGAAATTTAAAAAACCGGTTTCTTACGCAATGCGAATTAATATAAATTCTTTAATAACTTAAACACAACATTTTAGATGTAAACAAAATTATGTAATGATACTTTCACCAGGATCTTTCGTCGGATGCGATAGATAATATTTAAATGGACCAGTATCGCGTTACCATTACAACAGTTGATGTCAAGGTGATATTCAAGGTTGAAGATTTAGTTTTGATTGTTAAATTTGATAAGAGAATAAGCACTAAAAGAAATTGCGTTGTTATCCTACGCGAAGGTCGCAGGAAATTTGATTCGGGGATCGATTTTCGTACATTGTCCGGAAATTTGGTGTCAAATATGTGGCGGGTAACAATAGACGTCTTAGTTGTCTGTTTGATATTTTGTCTACTCAACGCATCGCTTATTTTTGTTTGATCATTCACGTGCAATGGCTTCGTAAAAGTACAATTTTTCCCCGTTTCCTTCAGTCTTTTACCTTTGTTTCTGAATATTTAATTTTTCCGTTGCGTGTGGGTGTGTCTTATTAGATAAAGTCTGCGGACTGTTTTCATAAAAATTTAATCATCATGTTGAAAAATTAATTTAATCTTAGAAAAAGGTTTTTTTTGATAAAAATCTGAATTTGATTGCTATCTTTTTCTATTTAAGGAACTAATTGGGATTTAACTAAATGCAATTTAAATTTTCGTTTTGTCTGGCAATACTGAAATGGAAATTTTTGAATTTATTTAAAATAGCCAATGTGTGTCGAGTATGAAAAAATTTGAATTTAAATTAACGAATCGGAATTATTTTCGACAGCTCCCTCTCAATAAATTTTACATTTACATAGTAATAGTTTTTTTTTCTTTTTTTTTCCTTTCTTCGTCGAAAATGTTTCGTCAGATATTTTATTTACGAAATTTTAAAATTTTGTTTTTAATTTCTCCCGTATGAAAAACATAATTTGATAGCGTTGCTTTTTTTTCAACTGTCAATGTTATCACTTTAGTCAGTCTTCGTTAATGGTAGACAAGGTCAAGGGAGCGGTACTTTTTGAATATTATGAGGAACACGGCGTGGGTTTATTCTATGGATATATTGTAATACCAACGTCGAGAATTAGAAAACAACGAGAACTAACCTTGATCTATGAAATTTCTCGACGTTTTCGAGTTTATTTAATCCACATATTTGTGATTTTTGCTGTTATAAATATTGTCCTTGATTGGGCGGCGATTATGAAATTTAACTAAACAAATTTTACTATCGACTGGATCTAATAAATGAAATTTTTTACAAATTGATTTTATAAAGTCTCTTTCATATCACCCATACATAAAGCATCTTTCATACAAAATAATTATTTAAAGAAAAAACAAATGAGCAAAAATGACTAAATTAAATACATAATATATTTCTCTCATTTAAAATTCATAATGTTTATAAATTGCCTAATTTCCTATTTATTTTTTATAAAGGAAGACCTACATAGATGGATGTAACTGCTTGCTTCATCATAATTTACTACAGTTTAATTACAATTAACTGCTTTCTAACTTTCCTTTTGCCTTATCGCAGCTTATTTTACTACTAAAAAACAAATGTTTACAATTGAAATCTTAGAGATGTTTTTTTAAAAAAAAAAAGAAAGTAAAATAAATAATTTTTTTAATCAAATTATATTTCAGAGATTACATATTTCATAGAAATGAAGTCATTTATATGTTAAAATTTTCTCTCTTAATTTTGTCATTATTTAATAGTTTATGATTCATTTAAAAATAAATATTTAAGATTGAATAGACATGTAGTGATGATTGAAAGAATTTCATGTGATATTTAATGTATTATTTCATAGAATGTTTAAATTTTTCTGAAAATATTTTTCAGAGAAATTTCAAATTAAAATGATTTTATGATAAATTGTATGATGATGTATTGTTTAGTTTTACATATAATCATTAGCATATATCAATATGACATTATATAATTACTTATTCTTCTTCAGAGATTTAATATATATATATATATATAATGTGTAAAAATATAAACATGTACAAATCCAATTTTTGGATTTAAGCCAAATGATGCTGGATTATATTGGGCTTTATTAATACTACTAACTACTAATTAAATTTAATTAGTAGTTAGTAGCATTAATATAGCCTGATATAATCCAATAATCATTTGGTTATAAAGTTTGTGCGTGTGTGGTTTTTTTTTTTTTTACTCTTCCCTGTGGACTGTAAGAGGGCCTTTTTCTTATACCCATTGTGAGTTTGGCCAAACACACAATCAGGCAGCTGGGTGATGAAGAATGGGCCCAAAATCCAGGACACATCACTCCCAAAAAATTCCTGGAGTTGTAGCCCAGATTTGATCCTGGTCCCCACAATGGTAGCTGACACCTTAATTGTCTCAATTAAGGCATTCAATTAGGCTGCAAATTGTCTCTCATTAAATTGTATTATCCTCCAGTCTTCCTTTTATCAATAATGCCTCCTGTTTCAGTACAATTTTAATTGTTTTTGTTTAATCTTACATTATTATCTCTGAAATAATATTGACAAATGACAATCCAATATTTTATTTTAAAATAATAATTTCACCTTCATCACTCACTAAAGTAACAGAGAAAGAAAGTCACTACTATTAATCAAAGTCAGATAAACAGATAAATGTTAGGGACTTCATCAGCATGGCATTATGCAATAGTTGGTAGTAATTCTATCATTGATTTTAAAACCCTATTTCTGTATTTATTATATTTACAACAGATATTTAATATGTATGGTACATATAAATTATATGTACTGTACATATTAAATTTACCATCTGTCTTATTCTCTCTTTGTTTAGCTCTCTGCCATCCCACATAAGTTTGAAAATAAACAGCTTAAGAAAACTCACAAGCTCTTGACCACTGGATGAAACAGAAAAACCATACATCAGATTCAAATACTAAATTATATGAATAGCCATAAAGCAAAGAAGAATAAAATTTAACATTTGTTCTTGTTCTGCTTTTATTTATTCTTATTGAGCATTGACATATACATCACTGGTTTGTATATGACATGCAAGGAACTGCCATATCAGTAATGCAGCTTCTCACACAATAATGTGTTAGCTAGTAATCTCGGGCTATTGCAATTTTATGGTAACTACCTGTGTTAAGTCTCTGCAATCTATAAGTAATGCAAGTGACCCACACTCAGAAACATCTAGTTTCCCTTATATAAAGTGTATGTGTATATATGTATATTAGTTATTATTGATATGAAAGTGACTTTATATATCAAACTATCATATCATCATTATATGCATTTGTTTTAAATTATATTACAAATTTTTTATATACATATTTACAAATAAAATTTATTTTATACAGTATATCAAACTAATATGTTGTAGTATAATGCACATTATATTTTTATTAAATTGAACATTTATATTGTCATTTATTATAAATAAACTTTTATTGGTTTTTCTCCTTGCTTTTTAGTTCAAGGTGAGTCACCTTTTGTGCCACTCTGAACAAGAAATCTATCATTTTGTACATTTTAAAATTAAATTTAATATCAAATGTAATAAGGTCTGAAAATCTTGTTTTTAATTGAGGATTAAAAATAGAAACAGTTCTTTAAATACAACAAAAGTTTTATTTTTTATTCAATCATTTTAGAAATAAACATATATTCAGGAACTAAAAGCTGTAATTTTTATAGTATTCAAGTTTTAATAATAATAATCTTTTTTGTTTTATTTTCAAGGAAATAAAACATGTTCTCCAGAACAATTCTTGTGTCATTCTTCAAATGGAGTCTGTGTACCCATGTCTTGGAGGTGTGATGGTCAAGAAGATTGTGATGATGGATCTGATGAGAAAGATGGCTGTCGTAAGTAGTCACTTTGAATAATCTTGCACAATCAATCATTGTAGATGGCCAAACTTCTACACTTTTGTTGAATTCTATCTCATAAACAATTAATTTAGGAATATTGTCTGTTGGTCACTGAAAATATACCAATAGAATAAATTATATAAAAAAATTTTCTTTTTGTATTTTTATCTGTAATAAAATTCAGTTTAGCAATATAGAGAGTATTGAAAAATAGCATTTTATATGGTAGATAGTAAACTCCATGCTAAGTAAGATAACCTTAGTAAACATAGGTCAAACACTCAACTATTTGTGAGCTAAATACAGACAAAGACATGGAATTTTCAGGATTTTTTGATTCTGTAAGTAGATACCAATGGGCATGGAAATGGAAGGAGGACCTTTAAAATAAGAAAAAACAAAAATCAGAAATAGTTCTATTCACAGATAACAGTCTTTTTTTTACTTTTCCAGCAGAAATTTTAATACACAGTCTAATATTTTCAGCCTAATTTATAGGCCAGCATAAGCTCTAAATCATACTGTAATATAATCTATTTTGGAATGCAAAGGCATTTCATAACAAATACCTGTATCAAGGTAAAAATTTGGCAACATTATCCTCCCTTTTCATATCACAAGCAACACATAGAAGCCCATAAGTCAGTCATAATACTAACAAACAAAATTGTTAATGTCTCAGAAACAGTTGAATTTTCATTTTATATTTACTAAGGATTTTTTTTCTCATTACAGCATGTAGATAATACATAACAATATTTCAGTCTTTATGGTAGATAGTCTGAATAAAAATGTTAAATGTTTTTTTAACATCTTATTTCAGTTTTATTTTATACAATATCTCACAATAAAATTGTTTATATTTTTTAAACCATTTTTATTTGTTTTTATTTTTTAATTAAATTAATATATTTTATATATATTTTTTTTAATTTACAAAAATTAAAATATTAAGCTGATATTATTTTAACTAGATCAAATAACTTGTACAGAAGAAGAGTTTTCTTGTAAAAATAACAAATGCATTACTAAAAGATGGTTGTGCGATCAAGATGACGATTGTGGAGATGGCAGTGATGAATTAAATTGTCGTGAGTATCATCTATTTAATCTTAATTTTTGGAATTGCTTTTAAGAAATCATTTCACTTGAACTGCTGCAATAAAAATAATAGATATAACAAATAGAAATAAATATATTCTTTTATAGATCTTATAAAACCAGTTTATTTAAATTAAACATTTACTTGCATATAATTATAACTATTTTCCTTATTAGAAAATCAGAGGAAAACTTTGAATAGCTTTTTTTATAGTGATAATTTACTTTGTGCTTTTCTTTGCACGAATCATGTGGAACTCTGCCATAAAAATGTTGGCAATGATCCATAAATTTGTGTTATTTGTACGACGTGTTTAGTGTATTGAATGTTTCCTTTACTACTAGTTTTATAGTATTTTGTTAATATTTTTTATTAATTGTATGTTTATCTTTCAAAGTAATGTCGACCCAGTTACGGCAGCATTAATAATTTGAATTTTATTGTTTGGCCAGTCAAGAAATATTACTTCAAATGAAGATTAATGTTTTGATTTAGATAATTTTGATTTTAAATTTTCTTTTTGTTTATATAACTAAAGTTTTTATAAAAAGTGAAACTTAGTTGCTGAAAGCTTTCTATTCAGTAAGGTTAAGATGGTCAAAATAGGAAATAACCTTGATTTATAAATTTTAAAAAAATCTGTTTAAAAATATAATCTAGGACATTTAAATTATATTTATCGACTTAAATATCTATTTTGTGGTACTCAATGACCGAAAATACATTGGTAATCATTTGTATCATAAAATTTTATTTGCAGGAAGTATTATTAAAAATATTATTCTTTTAACTTTCATAACTGATACACAAGGAAAAAATATGTCAGTTTCCTAAAAAAATTTATTAAATCACATGATGTAAGAAGATATTAATCATCAGCAATGTTCCTTAAAACACACAAAATTAACAAACAACTCCTGAACAAGGTATTGATGTGATGTATAAAATGTTATTAAAGTTAGAAATTCAAAGTTAATAATAGAAATAGAAAGAAAAAATAGATATCAGAAGTGTAAATAAAATAGAAACATTCCACTTTATACAGAATTAGGTCATTATTCATGTCAAAAGCTACTGATCCAGTTCACCTTGCAAATAGGATCAAAATTTAAAAGTAGCATTTTATCTTGATTAAATTCTTATAACTAAGGTGAAAATATCTTTATGTAAATTTTATGGCCTTTATAAAATTAAATTAATTATTTTTTTCATAAATTAATTTATAATATATTTAAAATTTAAAATAGAATGGAGCTAATTTGATAAGGCAATGAAAAACAATAAAATTATGTAACACTTTTCTTTCTTCCATTTTATATGATTAATGCTGATTAATTTCAATATCATAATAAGTTAGTATACAGTTACATACATTTGTACATAGTACACTATATACTGTAACTTAGTATGCTGTAGGTACAGTACATATGCTTTCTGCCAGTCAGAATATTGATGTATTCTCTATTCTCTTTTATTCTGTAAAAGAAAGTTATCATTTTCTTTATTTTCTCACTAAAAATTATTCAAAAAGTAGAAGTTCAAGGTTGAAAACATTCATCAATTGTCATTAAACATTTGCTGACATTTATTATGTTTTTCTTTGTGTCTGCTTTATTTTCTCTTCTATCTTAATATATAGGTTTTGTTCAAATAATTACATATGTGTAACAGGTGCTTTCTTCATTTTTTTTGTCATATACACAATGTTTTACTTTCAAAAAAAGTAATCAATAATTTTTTTCTTACAATACAAATAGTTTCTAATAACTTTAAATATTTAATCAGTAATAGTTAAATTATATATATTTTTCATTAAAATTATCTCAAATTTAAAATGGTAACTACTTTTACATTTCAGCTAATGTAACGTGCTCTAGTTCAGAATTTATGTGCAAAATTGGAAAATGTATACCTATTCGTTGGAATTGTGATGGTGATATAGATTGTATCGATGAGTCAGATGAGAAGGATTGTCCTGCTGATGCAATAAAATCTCCCTGCAGTTTAGGAGAATTTATGTGCAAAAATCGCAGAGATTGCATTCATGCATCATGGCACTGTGATGGAGAAGTGGATTGTCCAGATAGTTCAGATGAATTTAATTGTAAGTGGAGTTTGTATTTGTCAACATAAATGAAAATAGAATTGTTTTTGAGATTTACTATTTTTTAAGGTAATGCAACTTGTCGTCCAGACCAGTTTCAATGCAAGGATCATCAGTGCATTCCTGGTCCATTAGAATGTAATGGACAAAAGGAGTGTCAAGATGGATCTGACGAAGAACATTGTCCTTGTAATTATTTGCTTATTCATAATAAAATTTTCATTTTTAACTTTCATTAATACTAATCTCAATATTAATAGTGTTGATTAAATCATGTGATCTGGACAAAGAATTTGATTGTGGTAGCAATCACTGCATTCCTTTAAACTTAGTCTGCAATGGTAAAAATGACTGTGGAGAATGGGAAGACGAACCCAGAGATCAATGTTGTGAGTATTTTCAATAAAATTTCAGTCATAAACATCCTTACTACTAAAACAATAACAATTTCTTTATAATGCAGATCAAAATGAGTGCTTAAAAAATAATGGAGGCTGTTCTCAGTTGTGTGTTGATAAACCTGTTGGATATAGTTGTGAATGTAATAAAGGTTTTCAATTAGTTGATAATAAAACATGTGAAGGTGAGTGTAATATAAAATGAATAATTTTATTGTAAGTTGAATGTTGAAATTAAATTACGTGGTCATAATCTTAGATATCAATGAATGTGAAATACCTGGTTCATGCTCCCAGATTTGTATTAATACAAAAGGAAGTTATAAATGTGCATGTCATGAAGGTTACAGTCTAGAACCTAGTTCTCATCATCGTTGCAAGGCACAAGGTAACACTATTGTAAATTCATGATGACAATATAATAATTTTCCAACATATATTAAGTAATATATTATTTAACAAATTAAATTTTTCTGCTGCATATTTAGAAGGACATCCTTCTTTGCTTTTTGCTAATCGCCACGATATAAGAAAAATCAACCTTGAAACCCTGGAATATAAAGGAATAGTCATGAATCTTCATAGTACTGTATCATTAGATTATCAATTTAGCACAGGAACTGTTGTATGGTCTGATGTTGCAGAAGAATGCATTAAAAAGTTAGTTTGCTTTCTTTACTAAGAACATTTTACATTTAAAATATTAGTTGTGATTCAAATTGTTTTACCATAACTTTTTCAGAGCACCAATTGATACTGGATCACCCATAGAGAAAATCATAGATACAGATATAAAAATACCAGATGGAATTGCAGTTGACTGGATATATAATAACATATACTGGACTGATACGGGAAAAGATACTATTGGTGTATCAGATTTACAAGGAAGAAACCGAAAAACTTTGATTTCAAGTGGAATGGATGAACCAAGAGCAATTGTTTTAAATCCTCTGGAAGGGTATGATAAATTATTTTTCAAATACAATATATATATAAAAAGAAATTATAAAATTACTTTTCTTTACAGTTGGATGTTCTGGACAGATTGGGGGGAACCATCAAAAATTGAAAGAGCAGGAATGGATGGAACTCATCGCAAAGTTATAGTTTCAACAGATATAAAATGGCCAAATGGGTTAGCAATTGGTATGTAAAGAATTGATTACTGATCTATATAAAAGTGAAATTTTAACAAATATTAAAATTAGTTACTATAAAGTTTGCAAAAATTTTATTTCTTACAGATTTAGACAGTAAGAGATTGTTCTGGGTGGATGCCAAGCTTCATATTCTGTTTAGCTCTGATTATGATGGTAGTAATCGACGTGTGGTAATGTCTTCGCCAATCATGCTAAAACATCCATTTGCAATTGATATTTTTGAGGTAATTATTATAATAAATATATTTATGGTTATTTTTTAATTAACATAATCATTCATTAACAATTCTATTGTAGGATTGGGTTTATTGGACTGACTGGGAATCAGAAGCAATTCACAAAATGAATAAATTTACTGGTCAAGAATTGAGTAATATTGCAGTTGGAATATTTTCACCAATGGATTTACATGTCTATCATCCATACAAGCAACCAGAAGGTAAATGATATTAATTTATATTTAAGTGAGTTAATCTGTATCAATAAAAATTTTCTTTCTTTTAAAGGCGTCAATTATTGTAAAAATATGAATGGAATGTGTTCTCACCTGTGTTTACCAGCTCCACTTCTTACAAATGATTCTGCAAAGTTTTCATGTGCATGTCCAGATAATATGGTCTTATTTACAGATAAACACACTTGTATAGAACAAGGTAAATTCATAAAATTTTTATTATGCATATTGATTTTAATTCCTTGACTTTTCAAATACTAATTCATACAGTTTTAAGTTTTACACAAAGCTTTGGGATACTTAACCTTTTAACAAATCGAGAAATTGCCATTTACTAACAAAACAATCATTAGAAAATTCTTAAAGTTTATACAAAAACATTTATTTAATTTCTAGTTACTACTACTGTAACGATAAAAGAAACGAATCCTCCAAACACTACTCAATCACTAGTCACTGGTGAGTATTACGTAGTATCGCATTTTCTTAGTTGACAGTTATTACAAACTTTTTAAATGATTCTTTACCTATAACTTTCCTTAAAAGATAACTTTATAACTATGTATTCTTTAATTTTGCTTCCTTTGGACAGTTTCAGCTTCAATTTTATCAAAGTTAACAACTATCCCATCTACTACTAAAGTTCTAACTACCACCACAACCTCTACCACCCCTACCACATCCACAACCTCCACTACTATGAAGCCCAAATTGATTGTCAAGCCTACTTCCACTACTTCCAGTTCTTCACTACCTAAAGTTCTAACTACTACCACTTTCATCACATCCTCTACCTCCACTACCATGAAGCCAAAATTGATTGTCAAGCCTACTTCTATGTTGACTATAAACTATACTGTATCAACCCATTTGAATGCTCACACATCTGGTATATATCACTTTTTCTTTTTTTTTTTCTTTTTTTTATTTCTTATAGATTTTTGTTCTTGCATGAAAATGTATTTTATTTACTTTTTATTGGTTGTTCCTGAAAGCAAATGCTGCACAGTTTTAAATAATTTCTTAAATTTAAGGTATACTTTTTGAAGATTTATATTTCTAAATTAATCCAGACAAATGATTTAGCTTGTAAACAATTAAAAGCAATTAACTTTACTGATTAAACATGTAAACTTTCAGGGACAACCTATGCATATTTTTTGTAAATGAATGAAAATATCTTTCAGAATTTAAACTTAAATTTCTCTTTTGCATTCTTTAATATCTAAGCTACATTCATGGCATGACTTTATCTCATTTGTCAGTATAATAGCATGCAAACTATAGTCTTATGCACGTTCTCTTTATACATCTTGTCTGTAGAATATATATAAAACGAATTCACATAAAAAATGTCCTTGGAGATTTACGAACATGCCAGGAAGATTTTCCCCCATTTAATTTAAATAAAAAAATAATAATAATAATTTTCAAATATTTGTAACTAAGTAAAGAAATATTGCCGCATTCTTATCATCAAAACATAAAAATTCCGCGACAGTCTATGCTTATTTTTAGAACGTTTTATAGTTCCGAACTTTCACGCAGCGTGGCGATGCATGGAAAGTATTTATTTTAAAAAAAAATACATATTTATTTAAATTACATTTTTTTGTAATTAAATTTCATCTGGTAGAATTTTATTCCAAAATAAAAAAAAATACCTAAATACGCAATAATTTCTCCTCGTTAACAATATCGCTAGCGAATTATCGCGCGACTCCTCCTCCAAGCGATTTTGACGTCACAAATTGCCTTCTTCCCGTCCCCATTTCAAAACGGAAGTAGTTTGTCCTCAGCACGAAACTGGTAGATGGAGGACGAGTTCATTATCATCGATGACGCAGCTGTTGTCGTCGATGAGTCACGATAGCCAACGTTCCCTCCTCTCTCTCTCTCTCGTTTACCTCTGTTTCCCCCCGTCGTGCGTAGTGAGACGGGCCGACATACTGTATATACACCAAAAACCAAAGATGGCCGCGCTGATGGAGTTGACTTGGATCGTTTCGTTTTCTCTTTGCCTTTTAATAAACGGGAAGTTATTACGAGCCGATGCTTTAGTTACAGAAAGCATCACAAACAAAGGTGAGTCGCCGAATTCCCTCCTCATCGCTTTCTTTTTTCCCGCGAAAATTTATCATCCCGATTGGAGGTGCGTAGTTTTTTGGGAGAAAGGTGGCTATTTTTCTTTTTTATTGTTAGGTTAGGTTAAGCGTACGTCTCTATATCAAAATACGCTGATGTTTTTGCGCTTTTACAGTGAATTTGATTGATTTTATGACGGATTTGAGTGTTTATCATCAAGAATGGTTGCTGTGAAACACCAAGAATCATTTTTAAATAGGGAGTTTTTGGTTATTACAGTTAACCTTTAGGCACATTTTACTCAAGAAAATGTCTAAAATCTTATTAAATTCAATTATTTGAAAGGTTTAATAGGTTTAGAATCTAATAAACATGTCAAATTGTGTTATATTAATGTAATTTCCACTTTGATTTGATATTATTTGAATGTTTTCTTATCAAGATTTGTTGCTATGATATATCAAGAATCACTTATGGATAGAGTTTATTTAGGAAATTGTTATTACAGTTAACGTTTGTGCATTCTTGGCATTAAACTTGTGAAAATGTTTAAAAATCTTGTTAAATCTAAATTATATAAGAGGTTTAATAGATTTAGAACCTAATAAACATCTCTAAATGTGTTATTTTAATGTAATTTCCACTTTCATTTGAACTGATTTAGATTAAATATTATTCCTTTTTAAAACATGTTTTGGTGTTAATTTAATAAAAAGAAATATTACTCTTATTTATAGTTTTAAATTATCAAAAATTAAATTTTTGTAACTGGTTTCGATGTTTGTTATTGAGAAGAAATTATTGCATGATAGCTTAAGCTTAAATTTTATGGTCAAAGAACAAGAATTAAATAACAAATTAATTATTATTTTTTTATTATACCATACTAAAGTAGATATATTTAATTTTAAAAAAACAAAATTAAATTTTGAGAAAGAAAAATGTGTGGTAGAGAAATCAAGAAATGATGTCAATATATGAAGTCATAATCATGAAATCATCCAGTATAATATTTTATTAAATAAATATTTATGAATTTATATCTTTAAAAGGAGTAAAATGAATGAAAATTTCATTTTTTTTTTTACTATATGATTGTGTTTTATAACTTAGATTACTCAATAATAGTCTTGCTAAACCTGCTTTAAAGGGATTGAATCATCATTTTTCTACCACCTGCATTTATCAATGATTCACACCTTTATATAATACGATGAAAGAAAAATGTTAGCCTAATTAATTTCTAGTTATAACTTGAATAAATTAATTTTGTTCCAATTTAAGATAAAGTACATGACAACTGCTTAAATCTGTGGTTACCAAACTTTTCAATTTGGAGGTCCAAATTATGCATAAGTCATAAGTAGGTGGCCACAAATATTCTACTTAATCCATATATATACATATAAATAAGGCCTGTTTCTGTCATTTATAAATGATGTGTCAGATATATTTTTGTGCCATGGGCCAGATGTGGTTTGAGCTGTAGGTTGAGCACCACTGGCTTAAATTATAGAAGATAAAAAGTTTTAATCATTGTTATTGAAACTATAAACATATTCAAAAGCACAAATTTATTATTTTGAAAATGAGATGAATATATAGCTTTAAATAATTTTAAAATTATTTTGGTTTGGTTTAAAAATATTTGGTTTGTATAATTTAAAGGGACTTTTATTTTATGTATATGATGATTCAAGAAGTCAAAAACTTTTCAAAAACTTTAAACATATTTTACATATTCTCTTTTGATACAATGAATGTTTAATTAATACATTTAAAACCCAGTGGCCTGATGACTCATTTACTAATATGAAACAAATTTCATTAGAAAAACAAAAATAGCACAATCAAAATTGATATTAGATTTGTTACCAAAAAATCCAAAATTTCAAATAAGTAAAATAATTTGTTTACTACAAGATACAAAAGCTTTAACTCTTAATGCTCTTAAAATTGCATTTAAGTGAAAAATTTTAACTTTACATTTCTGAAAGTGTCAGCAAATTAATGGTAATAATTTTAAATTATATAACCTCATTGGTCTTACTGTTGATTTATTTATTTTTTTATTAAAATTGTTTGGTAGATACAATAATATATAAAGTTTACGTTTTTTTTATTATTAGTTATTTATCAATATTATCAGTGTTTCAAAACTATTCGATTGGGTTGTTGCAGGTGGCGTGAAATGTTAAAATGTGGAAATTGTGGAATGAAATTGTCATAGAGCTGATATGTATTAATTTTAAAAAATACCTTTAAAAATGTGTGTTAATGCTAAATTATCTAGAATTAATTTTAAGTTGTTTTTAATTTCTTAACACATCAAATTAAACATATTATAATATAAATTAGTATACAGAATCTTAATTAAAGTATTTTCCAATTCAGAAACTACTCCTGAAAAGACAAAGGCAGAAACAACTGAGCATATCGAAATCCATAATCTGACACCTTCTGTACCAACACGTTATTCTGAAATTAATTATACTGCACCTTACTATCACGAGCAGCAAGTTGCTCCAAAGGAGGAACCAGATACAGGAAGGATAGCTGGAATTATAATTGGTGTATTGGGTGGAGTGGCTATATTCACTACACTGGTAAAAATAATATTATTATTTTGCTTTAAAAAAAAGACAAATTATTTAAAACCATTCTTGCTTTTTCAGGTTGCGTTTCTACTGTATAAACATTACCTGCGAAGAAATGTAACCAGTATGAATTTTGATAATCCAGTGTACCGCAAAACAACAGAAGATCAGTTTAGTCTAGAAAAGAATCAGTATCAACCAGCCAGGTCGTATCCACCTGTAAGTATAACTATTTAAAACCATTGATTTATTTCTCGATTTTAATCCTAAGGCATTAAAAAATTTTTTTTCTACAGAGTCTGGAACCATTGACGTCACCTGGCACAAATGAATTTGTTTAATGTCTTCATATTATTTTACATAGTTAACAAATCTGATTGTTTGAGTGTGTGTCCATAGCAACACTGCAGTCTACGAAGCATTGGTATTGTGCTTTTGCGCCAGTACCATACTAACGAACATTGTGCAAAAATTTGGAAATACCCAATTGCATCCACTGACTGTTGCTTTGGTCACATTAGGAAAGTGATGTAGATTGAGAACTGCCAAATCGTGTTGATGAAAGTGAACATTGTTAAGATAATTAAATGCATCTGTCCAGAGTGAAAGCCACAACGTTCGGAACAGTGAGGTAGGCCATCGTCATCCGCTCCATGGGCCATTCTCCCGTACCGTGACATCAAGCTATTGTTGTTATTGTATATGGTTACCTTGTTTGTTATTTTAGAACTTTATAACAATGCAGGTCTACAAATTTGTACAGAAGTTGCTTCAGATTATCTGCAAACTTTTTTTCTTATTATGTGACTAATTATTCTGTAAATTATTGCATGTAGTTTAAAACTGTACACAAACTATCCCTCCAGTGTCCTCTCTTTCTTGGAATCTCATTTTGAAAAATTTTATTTCAAGAAGAAAGTTTTTGTATACAAATAACTGCATTTCTTTACATTGTAGAAATTTCACATTTTTCATATTCTTGTGAAATTTGCTCAAATTTGTCAAAATGCTGTAAATAAAACTTATTGAAATGTATCATTTTCAAATTGTTTAAAAAAAAAAATAGCACACAGTCATCATGCCTAAGGCTAGCTACATATGTACTGATATACCTGACAGATATACTAGTATGTGTGTAGCCAGCTTAAGAGCAAATTAAATTATAAATTATTTTGAAATTAGTTGACCATAAACTGTACAACGCATCATCTTGGTGCTTCAGAAATCATAATTCTAATCCAAAATGTCTAATGATAAATTATATTTTTATTGTTTGCTTGCTGACTTACCTTATGCAATTAGCACCACCACAATGGGTAAAAATTTGTGTACCACACATTAAAAGTAAATAATGATGATAAAATTATGTTATAATTATTTTTGTAGGAATATTTTATTTTACTATATTGGATATTAATTTTTGTTACCCTATTAGGAATCATTATTTCATTGTTTATCAGATTTAAGGTAAAACGAAAACTATAATTCTGGCACTGCAAATTGTAAAATTTTTTTCGTAGTTTTTATTTATGCTGTAAATATTGCTCTAATGTTTGAGAAAATTAATTTATAATTTTTTTTATTAAACTACATTAAGAAATAAACTACATTTTATTATTTTGAAAAAGTATTTTATTCATTTTTATGTTATCAAGAAAATTTATTTTATAAATATTTCTTCTGGCATAAACTACTATTCTCAGAGTAGGTTTATAAAACTAGTACTCTTATTACATGCATCATAAAGTCAATAATAAAATGATTTATAAATTATCAGGCTATTCACCCTCTGTATTCTGGATATTCAGTATATAAATGATCTACCATCATTTAATTTTTTCTTTTATAATTAGCAGATGATAAATAAATAATCTATCTGTATTATAAAGTCTGAATAGCCTGCTAGTTTCTATAAATAAAACTTTGTTCTATAAAAAAAACAAATTTGGATTTAAAAAAAGATTCCTTAAGTGTTTTTTTTTTACAAAAATAGGCTTTTCAATAAAATTTCAATTTGTAAACTGCTAAAAATAGTTGCTTCTTCTTGTTAATAGTATATAAATCATCTTTTCCCCCCACAGAACTTGTCATCTAATAGATATCAATTCAAATTCTTATTACATCAATAGAAAATATAGCAAAAGGTCTTTATAAACTAGCCGTTTTTCAATGTCTTCAAATTTATGTATTTTTATGATTATATTCATATTTATTTTATCAAATAAATTATAGTAAAGTATCAGGTTTCTGTATTTATTTAATTCTGGTTATAATNGAAAGAAGATAACAACATTGGGAGAGCCGAACTTAGTGGAATTATTTTGTTTAAATATTTTGTTTTTTTTTTTTTTGTTTTTTAAAGAGACAAAAAAAAACCGACATTTTTAAAGATAATTAAACTGTTTCCCACGAACTTATTTCCTGGGTGAAGATGATACATCGAGTGTGTCACCCGGAATCTACGACAGAAAAATCAATTATTGGACGGCGATGAAAAAAGTTCTAATAAGGCCATGGGAAAAAACCCAATGGAGACCCCTAAAAAAAAGGGAGGGGTCGATGAGTCGAACAAAGTCATCGAATGTTCAGTGAACTGTGTGTGTGTGTGTTGGTCGCCGCTTGTCATTCGCCGCCGCCCTAACTGTTCCAATCGTCGCCATTCCGGAAAATTCATCGCCACACCGAAAGTANATGATACATTGAGTGTGTCACCCGGAATCTACGACAGAAAAATCAATTATTGGACGGCGATGAAAAAAGTTGTAATAAGGCCATGGGAAAAACCCAATGGAGACCCCTAAAAAAAGGGAGGGGTCGATGAGTCGAACAGAGTCCTCGAGTGTTCAGTGAACTCTGTGTGTGTGTGTGTTGGTCGCCGCTTGTCATTCGCCGCCGCCCTAACTATTCCAATCGTCGCCATTCCGGAAGATTCATCGCCACACCAAAGAACTTGGTGCCATTTCAAGATTTCCTACGTGTAAAAACCTCCAATCACTCTGCGAATTCTACAGGTATTTATCTTCCCGCAGAATAAATGTAAACTCTCTCTCTCTCTCGTTATCTCTTGTTGTTAGGATCGTAATAGTTACGCAATATGTCAGCTTCGGATTAGCTTTGGCTAAGCATCTATCAAATATAATCTGTAAATAGTCTATATCGAATAATAAACGGATATTTTTATTTATATGAAAATCTGTGGTGTATATTNATGGAGACCCCTAAAAAAAAGGGAGGGGTCGATGAGTCGAACAAAGTCATCGAATGTTCAGTGAACTGTGTGTGTGTGTGTTGGTCGCCGCTTGTCATTCGCCGCCGCCCTAACTGTTCCAATCGTCGCCATTCCGGAAAATTCATCGCCACACCGAAAGTATCGTCGCCACTCCAAAGAACTTGGTGACATTTCAAGATTTCCTACGTGTAAAAACCTCCAATCACTCTGCGAATTCTACAGGTATTTATCTTCCCGCGGAATAAATGTAAACTCTCGCTCTCTCGTTATCTCTTGTTGTTAGGATCGTAATAGTTACGCAATATGTCAGCTTCGGATTAGCTTTGGCTAAGCATCTATCAAATATAATCTGTAAATAGTCTATATCGAATAATAAACGGATATTTTTATTTATATGAAAATCTGTGGTGTATATTTCCTCTGGTTCTCTCCTTCCGCCTCCATCCCGGATCCTAAAATCCGCACACGCAACCGTTCGAAATAACGAGATAAACGGCCAATCCGGTTTCTGTGTTTGTCCGCAAGACACAGTGGTGTCATCCTGACAAGGCATCAAAGAGGGGCCGACCCTGCGGTCAGCACCTCTTTGATGCCTTGTCATAACATCTACAATATAGTAATCAGATTTACATGAGATAAATGAGAATATAAACTGAATGAAACAGTGGCGTGCCGTCCTTGGAAGCGGTGGAAGCGCCGCTTCCCTTGTATTTTCTAAAGTATAAATACATATTGTGCGACTATTTTCATATTTTGACGTACGTGCTTTGAATTAATTAAAATTAATATTTTATTATAACCACGTTATGTATCTTATTACAAATTTCTATACTACGTGTGAGAAAACGATAAGATTGCTATTGTATATTCGAATATCAGTGGCGGAATGGAAGCGCTGTATTGTCAAATAAGAGACAGCTTCTACGGCGAAAATATTTGAATGATGTAAAGCAGCCAGATTATACCATTTGTGCATGCGCTTTACAGAACACCAACCTCACGCGGTTTAGCTGGTGGATGCTACACACCATAACACTTCTAATGATTCTATCCAGGACAGGTTCTAGGCTGTTAGCCGCGTGTCTGCTAGATATTTAGCCGCCCTCGCTCTATTATGTGAATTATGAGTAGATTTATAACTTAACCCAGCCGACAGGAGTTTACTGGTATGTTTTTATGATAATTCTGTATAGTTAGCAGAAGTTTTAAAAAAAATTCATTAAAATACTTGATATATTTATTCTGCTTTTATTCCGCTCTCTCATCTTGTATTACTTACAGATTTCAATGTTAAACATGTGATATTACCATTTAGTATGTCCCATCTATAAGGGGATGCAGAAAAAAACGTGTACAATCTTTATACAATGTTAAAAAATTAACTGTTACTTTGGCAGTATCATTTACAACTAAATGTAATGAATGAGATGCACAAGGTACAAAAAAGCCCTAGAATTTGTTTTCCTTAAATTTATGATTTATGTATCCGTTGTCATAAAAATATTGATTTTCCATTTCTTTCCCAAGACTACAAATATTCAAGTAAAAAGTAACTGGTTTTAACTTAATATAAATAAAACCCCTGCTAAAAGATCGTGAATTTTACTTAAACAAAAGCTTAACCGAACCAATCTCTAACCGAGCACAATGGGAACTGATTTCTTCGTAATATTAGATGTAATAAAGACAAAAATTTTTCCAGTTCAATGAGAGTAACCGAAAAGATGTAAATTTTGGAAATTTCCGTGGACACCTGATCTTAAAATGAATTAGAAAACAAATGACGGACAATCTATTAAGTTTAACATATTTAGATTTTTACAGCTATGGTGAGAAACGTTTAAAATCTACAACAGCCCTGTCGAGTCTTTTGAGATATACTAATGATGCGACTAAACAGGCATTTGGCATTGACGCGTATCGGCACCCTCGCGATTTGGCAGCTCGCACTGCACACCTACCAGGCGTCTCTGATTCCATCCATTAGCCACTCGTAGGGAGCTATTTGACTAAGTGGATTGTTTTAACATTTTAAAAAGTAATGAAGATTTTATGTTATTTTAATCAACGTTTTTTTTTGCAAAGCTATATTTAATTATAATTTTCTTTAAAAGTATATTCATACAATTGAAGAATATTTTCTACCAGGTATGTATATCCAGCACACATTTTATTTCACCAAGTTTTTATAATTTTATTTTTAATTGTAGCCCTTATATCGTGGCTTTCAATTCGAAATGCAATTGTGATATTAAAAATACATTTAAAGAAGTCTACGGTATTTTTCTGTCTTATCGAACAAATGAATACGAATGGACCCTGAATACGAATGGTCCATTCGTATTCATTTGTTTATTTTGCACCATCACTGACGCTCGATTAACTGATTGCCCCTGAAAGTCAGCTTCTTAAAGAAACACAGCTTCTGTATCATCAAATGTCACGGCACGCCACTGGAATGAAATGAAAACAAGAATCTCGGAATTCAGTATGATGTGTTTATCTACTCTAATCTTTCTCTTGGGCAAATTAATTAATGCTGAACTATCATAATGATGTGTATATACAGTACATGTGATAAATTTAGTACCAGAATCAAATACAATGTAATTTCACAATCATTCATAAATATAAATATTTATGAATGATTGTGATCATTTAATAAATATACATTTTATTAAATATATGTAATAAATATATATTGTTTTATGTATCATGCACAGAGTAGTCTAAAAGTCTGTCATCTCATAAATTTATTTGAATTTTTACATTTATATTTCATCATTTCAGATGGCTGACACAAGCTCCTATAGTATGAAAGAATGGCTCACTGC